AAACCAGCCAGAAGTGGGAGATGAACAACATCGTGGCCGTGTGAGGACCGGAGGGGGAGCCCCAGGATTCGGGAGGATGGACGGACAGTTAGGGGAGTGGGACCCGGCGTCCGTCCCAGTGGGCAGAGACCGGCCGGATCCCAGCTCTCGCAGAGGCCGAGGGCTCCGGCCGTCAGGCTGGACCGAGCCCCGGCCGGCGCTTTTTTTTTACGGTGGTTGAGTTTACATTGCGTCTTTCTCTTTGTTTCTTTCGGGATCTGGAGTCTTTTTCTAAACTTTGGAGGCCGAAGGCGTCTCCGCTAACCACGTCTTAGAGATTTTAACACTTTGCCAAAGAGACCTCGTGCTGGGTGAAGGAGCCACAGCAGCCGTGCTGCCCCCTCTCCATCCACCAATCAGATTCACCTGATTTTAGTCTGAAGGACCCGAGCTGGCAGAGCCGGAACCAGAGGGAACCCCAGCCCTCCAGATGGGGTTCAGTCTTTTATCCGCTTTTACGTCTGTGACCAATCAACTCGGAAATGCGCTGCATTTGTTTTCTCTCGTTTCATTTTCCTTTAACAGTTGTTTAACTGCTGTTTGAGCCTTTTTCACCGGCACGCAGTCAGAAGCCCCACAGGGAAAAAGACGACCTGTCTTCCTCTGTCCGTTTCCCTGCGGTCACTCCAGCTCCGCCTGTCATGACGGCGGCTTTTCGCGAGACCGCTGCTCTCGCTGACCGTCCAGATCATTTCAGCCGGGGCCGCCTGAGACCAGGCAGCAGCTGCTCTGAGAAGAGCCGACACAGAGAAGCTCTCTGCTTTTTGTTCTGGCTGGGGAGAGGTTTTGTTTTTTTCATCTTTTTTTACACTAAACGGAAGTCTAAAGAGGATCATGGTGCATTATATGAAGGGCCTCTAATGATGTAAATATCTAATTTATAGCAGAGATTTAATAATAATGGTCAAACGATGTGGGTTTGTGGGAATAAAAGACATTTGCTACCAAGTCTGTCTGTTTTATCTAAATTGGTACTGAGGTGAGGTAACCATGGACACAAGATGCTAACCTCAGCCCTACAAACAACTGAGGAAAACCACAAAAAAAGGTCTAGAAGGCTGTTTAAACCTTAAATCAAAGTCTGCACACTGAGGTGTTCCCTCCATCCCATTCCTCTGATAGTCAGCACGGGGGTGTGGACCACAGATGGACACTTATTTTGACAGAGTCTGAGGCATCAGACTGACCGTTGTGGACACTGAATCCCTCCGTGCTGTGTAGTGGACGCTTAGGCTCTGCTGGGAGACATTTCAAATGGCAGAATTAGGAGGGAAGGCCACCAGGATTCCCTGATGAGGACCAGTGAGCAGCTCTGAGCAGCATACTTAGCCCAAAAGGAGCCCATGACCAACCACGATTACCTTTCTTTGCTCTTCTCTCCATGGTGACCATGAAAAAACACCTTCAGCTAGCTCATTTAAATACACAATCTTTGCTTTGACCATTAATGGCTGAATGTGGCTGTTTAGAGGGCGGAACATGAGGCTGGACCCTTTACGTCAGTTCCACTTTGACCGCAGAGTACCTGAACGCGCCTCCGGAGCAGCGGCGAATGACGTCACGCGGAAGTGGAAGCCACTTCCGGACTCAGTTTGTTTTCGGAGCGCAGTTTGGGTGACGGAAGAAGATTCGCTTCGCAAACAGAACCGGACATGAAGCTGCTCCTCACGGTTCTGTTTCTGGTGGGACCGGCCCAGAGCTGGAACGACGGTAAGCTTCGGTTCCAGGCAGTCTAAAACAAACACGACGGTTAAAACTAACTTTTAAAACGTCAAAACAAAGATGGAGGACGGGTTACGGCAGCAGACGTCATACGGAAGGAAGGCCTGGGTTTTAAACATTTATTTACAATTTATTTAGACTGTGTAACCTGCTTTCTGCTGGGTGGAAACAGGCCCAGAGGGTCAACCAGACCACCAGGCCCTCTGTGAGATGATGGTTGACCCCTGGTTGTGTCCCCCCCCCCACACAGGCAGCGTCCTCCTGAGGGACATCCAGGCCCTGACCCTCTACAAGAACCGGATGACCACAGCCAGGCGCTCCAGCCCCGTCCCTCAGCTGAAGTGCGTCGGGGGCTCTGCGGGCTGCCACGTTTTCACCCCGGAGGCCGTCCAGTGTCTGAACAGGGGCTGGGACGGGGTGGACGTCCAGGTGAGGGCCACCCCCCAACTCCCCCAGAAAAGAGCCTTCTCAGACGGAGGGAGGAAGAGTGCTGTGGAGGCCTAAACGTGCCGTCCTGTGGTGTTTTGTGTGGTGTTTGTGCGTCGCAGTGGGAGTGCAAGACTGACATGGACAACCGGTACCGCTTTGGCCGCATCGAGGTGAGCTGTGAGGGCTACAGCCACCCGGCAGACGACTACGTCCTGAAGGGCTCCTGCGGGCTGGAGTACACCCTGGAGCTGACAGCCGAGGGCCAGAAGAGCAGCTCCGGGATGGGAGGTAGGAGCACGGATCCGCTCCATCAGACTTAAAGAACGGTCCGATTCTGTGAGATATGAGGAATAATGAGTCCTCAGAAGAAACTGTGTGAGCAGAACATTAAACAATAGCAATTTAAGATGGAGTAAGAGGCTTTTAGAAACTTTTAGAGTAAGAAAATGGCACCCAACAGCCTTAAGACCTGACCCTGGTCTGCCTCGGGTCCTGACCAGGTCCTGACCCTGGTCGGCCTGAAGGACCTGACCCTGGTCAGCCTCAAGTCTTGACCCTGGTAGACTTCAGGACCTGACCAGGGTCAGCCTCAGGTCCTGGCCCTGGCTCTGGCTCAGCCTACAGCTCAGTCCAGCCGGGGGCCAATCCCAGCTATGGTTTCCATGACGACTACACCTAATTTTAGAAACTTTTAGAGTAAGAGAATGGCATCCAACATGTCAGCAACCATTGCAACATTTAAAAAGTTTTGCCATAAGACTCAAAGAATGATCTGTATTTCCAAACGGCCCCAAAACTGTAAAGAGTCAGGGTAGATGTTTATTTTGTATTTATTTATTTATTTATTTAATTAGGACAGTGCACATTAATGAACAATCTCATACAGATTGTAAACGAGCCAGATTATAGCATAGTTGCTAGTTTACATCTGTCGTCCTGAGGCAGGAAGACCAAACAACACAAAATACAAAATCAGTCCAAACACGTTTAGACAATTACATTACAAAATTAAAATTAATTCAATTCAATTTCATTTATATAGCGCCACATCACAACAACAGTTGTCTCACAGCGCTTTCCAAACAGAGCAGGTCAGACCCTACTCTGAAGTTGATTACAGAAACCCAACAATTCCCACCATGAGCAAGCACTAGGCGACACAGGCAAGGAAAAACTTCCTTTTAACAGGCAGAAACCTCGAGCAGAACCATGGCTCAGGGTGGACCTTTGACCTCAGACACAGAAATGAGCCGTGACAGTCCTCTGCTCTCCGTCTGATTCAGGGCTCGGAGGCTTTGCCTCCAGCTTCTTCAGCGGGTTTTCTGAGGACCGGCGCCAGCAGAATCCCCGCAAGGCGACCCCCCCGGCCGGCGAGGGCTCCGGAGACCTGCTGGTGGTGGTGGTCCTGCTCCTTCTGGGCTTCGGGGTCTACAAGCTGTTCCTGAGCGGGGACGCGGCCCAGCAGCCCGGGCAGCCTCAGTCTGGGGGCTACGGCCACACGGCAGGGCCCCCCCCTCCGGGGTTCAGACCAGACTTCACAGGTACGCTTCTGCTGGGGGGGGTCAGCCTCAGGACCTGACCATGACTCGACCCTGGTCTGCCTTAAGACCTGACCCTGGTAGGCTTCAGGACTGACAAGGACCTGACCCTGCGTCTGGCTCAGGACCTGATCCTGGTCGGCCTCAGGACCTGATCAGGATCTGACCCTGGCTCAGGTCCTGACCCTGGTCTGCCTCAGGTCCTGACCCTGGTCGGCCTCAGGTTCTGACCCTGGTCAGCCTCAGGACCTGACCCTGGTTGGCCTCAAGTCCTGACCAGGAACTGTCCCTGGTCTGCCTCAGGACCTGACCAGGTCCTGACCCTGGTCTGGCCCAGGTCCTGACCCTGGTCTCCCTCAGGTCCTGACCAGGTCCTGACC